TTTTTCCCCCTCAGGATGTGCCAACTCCCCCCCCCGCCTCAACTTCTCAAGGTGTTTTTCACTAGAATTTAAAGTTCATTCAAGGAAGGGTTTATGCTGCTGGCACTGCTAAGGAACAGCTGAGATACGGAAGATCAAAAAGGAAGCTTGAAATAAGAAATGCTAATTTTCAGAGGATGGTCGACCAGTCAATAGTACTCTAGGTTGTAGGCTAGCTACTTGGAGTGTAGAGAGATAACCGGAGGCAATTTTTACAGTAATGGATGTTCTCCACATCAAGGAAGGTTTACCTATCAACCTTTATGGGAGTCCATTGTAATTGGAGGGGCAGACTTCATATTCTTAGTGTCAGAAGGAGGGGAGAATCAGAGGATTCCGCTGTCTTCAGTCAGAGGAAACGAAGCCTAATTTGTAGCAGCTCTGCACTGCGCTGAAAACTGGCACTTGCCAATAGAACTATTATGAACTACTGAATTATGAGAGTTAATTTGCTAGCAAAGAGGGTAGCAGATGGCTGTGCTTACCTACTCATGACCCAAAGAAAATGCTGCACTTTCAACAAATAGGTGTTTGGCAGGTTCCCCTGATGCATCTTTTCCCAGGCAAGGGAAAAGGTATTGACGTTAGATTGTTGTGCACTGTTAAAATAAGCGAACTCTTCTCTTTATAAGAGCTGTGAGTTCTTTTGTAATTCTTAGGTGACACAATTTTCCTCTCGCCATTTTCTCTCCACTCCCTGCAAAGGTTTGCAAGCCTCCTCCATTTGGGGGCTATTGCATCTCCCCGCCATGGGATGCCTGACGATTCTGTGTTGGATGAAGAGGAGAAACAGGAAGTGTAAGGCAGTGGCACTTCTGTTTCCGGTTCCCCTTGCATCTGTGTTGTGTCAAAAGCAGTTCCTGTGTTAAGCTAACTTTAGTTGCATTGATTTTTGTTGGATATACTTATTGTGCTTGTGTCTCCAAGTGGCACATCAGGTCTTAAATATAACAAGAAGCTTTCCTTATTGCTTTTTCAAGGCCTTACCTCATAATAACAAGTGCTCCTTGGAGAGTACTCTGATTATAAAATTGGCTTTATTGTCCTGGACATTATGCTGCAGTTCATTCTGGGAATTGCTTGCAAAATGTTTTACTGTTGCCATCATTAACTATAAGGACTGTATTAGCTACATCACCTCCAGTTTTTCCTCCCTTACTCTGGGGATTCCCAAATGGTGGTCTAGGGCTACCAGTAGATTGTGGGGGCTTCCTTGGTGGCCTATCAGGATAGCTGTGGGTGGCTAGACATTGTTGGTGGGGACATGCTACATCTCTGTGTGGTAGTTTTCTGTGCACTGTTTAGTATAATTTGATTGTCAACCTAGATCATTTATCACCTGACTAGGGAATAGAAACAAAAACAAACAATTATCTGTTTAAAAACTACATGCATGTGATGATTCTAAGGTCTGTGTGTCTGTCTAGTACTGCTCATACGGCTATCACCCGAAGCAGATCTTAGAACCAAAAAATATTTTAAAAGCCCTTACTCAGCATTATTTCTCTTATTATTTGATCATTGCACCTATGAATTTTGCCACTGAGAGGGTGACATTATCATTGGTATCTGATAGTAGCCATGACACCTGGGCTCGCACGTTTAGCAATTCTGTATCGTTAAGTAAAGGGATGACTAAATTAGCCCTCAACTCATTGAATATAGGGCACTCCATAATCATATGTTCGATGGTTTCAATGTTATGATATGAAATTCATTTATGTCAAAGTGAACACTTGTGCTAATATATTTTGCACTGAATTGCAGTTGTTAATTGCAATTGCAGCCAGTTTGGTGTAGTGGTTAAGTGTGCGGACTCTAATCTGGGAGAACCGGGTTTGATTCCCCACTCCTCCACTTGCACCTGCTGATGTGACCTTGGGTCAGTCACAAGCTCTGGCACAGCTGTCCTTGAAAAAGAGCAGTTTGTGTCAGAGTTCTCTCAGCCCCACCCACCTCACAGGGTGTCTGTTGTGGGGAGGGGAAGGGAAAGGAGTTTGTAAGCCGCTCTGAGACTCCAAGTGAAGGGCGGGGTATAAATCCAATCTCTTCTTCTTCTTAAGTCAGTGCAACATTTCCTGTGGGAGAAACTTGTGTGTGTGTTTTGCTGAACTCACATGTTACAACTGATCTCTCCCATTTGTGTATGAGCACTTCAAGTTAATTTGATAACACTTGCCTTCCACATAACATGTGGCTCGGACCAATGCCTTAAGCCACCTTGAATTATCATCTTGCTGGAAACCTTGATGTGCTTGACGTTTGTATCTTCCTTCCTGCTGTTGGGTGGTGTATCCTGTAGTTTGCAGTAATGTGGGTTAGCCTGTGGCAGACTGGGTTTGAAAACTCTCTTCCTCTGTTATAGCTCTGCAGGGTGAATAAACTATGTGAGGGTATCAAGTGGGACAGTTTGAGATTTCTGCTAGAACAGAAAACACATTGCTCCCTAGCCTAGCACACAACAGCGCCCAGTGAGTTCAGCTGGGAGGAGGGAGGGAATTGTCAGCCATTCTGGTATTGAGGCTGAGGCCCATTGTTGACTCACAAATGGGGCCACCAAGAAAAGAGAACTAAGGAGGCAAATTTCTGGGTTCTCTGGTCACTCTGTAGCCAGGCAAGTGAGGTGATTTGTTGGGTTGGGATAAGAGGGTGTCTCAGAGGGAACCTTCATCTGGAGGTCTGCGGTGGCTTTCAAGAACTTTGTCGTCAGCGTTTGAGAATGCTCATTCTGAGATGGAGGGTGCCTGCTTAAGCAGCAAGGATCTACTACTGTCAAAGAGAGTTAAGGAGAACTGCTTCCACTCTTTCTCCTCAGTTCATTAAAATACATTACAGGTCCACACCTTGTGATTCTTTGTGATGGGTCCATGGTTGCATCAACACATGGTGGGGCATTGTGCTGTCAATGCCCCATGGCAATCATTCACTTCCTGGATTGTCTTACCAATGATTGCTCTCTAGCACAATAATGCAAAGATATATGGATGTTGTCACAGTAAGTACATACGATTCTAAGAATCTCCTTCAAGGCCTGGGCTAGCAGTTCTGTCCCCCTCCCCTTTTACTGTGTGATGACGAGAACAGAGCTTTTATCATGATGCAATTAAAATGCAGTTACAGGAACCTCTCTGTCAAGCTATAGTTACAGGAATCTGTGTTTTATTGTTCCTTGTGCCTGGTTGGAGAAAGTTGGATGATCTGATCTCACAAAAAAGCAGGAATCTCTCTCTTGAGGGTTGGTTAATGAAGCAGTATTATTTAGTAGAACTTCTGATGTTTGGAGATGGCTTCATACCTTTTTGTATGGGTACAATCACCTGTTTGTTTTGGATAGCTTTATTTTGTTTCTGTAGATATTCCTTCCATGGGTAAGAAGCCTGCCAATCTTGCTTAAAGATGTGAGGGCCAAGGGGGAAACCAATCAAGGAAGAAATATTTTTGTCTAGTTTGAGGTATTGTTTTTCTTTTCCTGAAGCTTGAAATGGAGAACTTGGAAATGTTAGGGTTTTTTTGTTTTTGTTTTAAAATAGAGCTTGGAAATGAGTGCAATACCTTTTTAAAAGCAGTGTTTTATAAATGTGATCTCATCCATCACTCCAAAAGCTGCTACTAAGGGTTAGCAGACTCTTCAGAATGGCACATAATGCAGTGCAGGGCATGTAGCCAAGGGGGTCTTTGGATGGCAGCCATTATTTGAAGCTCAGTTCCTAAAGCCGCTTTTCTGGCTTGTTTGTTTGTTACAGTGTTGACCGTTCCTGTGTTCAGCTCCTTCCCCCTCCCCTAGGTTTTCTGAACAGACTTAATCTAAGCTTGGTGTGTTAGTATGCAGATCACTCTATAATGGTATCTATGGGTTGGATCTCACAGATCTGTTTGCATTGGCAGTGGCAAGTGCCTATAGCAGAAGGATCCTTCCCATAATGCCTGAAAAAAGTGGAGTGGCTTTGTGGAATCCAACCCTGTATCTATAATTATTCTTTGAATAAAACGAAGACATTGATATGTGTGAATTTCATGAAATTCTGAACCATTTCATTTTTGTGGGCTAATGGTAGAGTTTATGTACTTAAAGGAAATATTACACAAGTTTCAATTTCCCCCCTCAGATTTCCACTTTTCATTCTTTCTTCCCTCAGCCATGGTTTCAGAATTTTTCATCTCACTTTTTGAATGCTTCCATACACCGTTTCAGCATTTGGAAGAAACGGGATAAATTATTTGCTCTGAAAAACATTTACTTAGTTACCTTTGCCAAATCACTGTGGCAATCTTGTTTCTCTTCTAGATGAAAATGATAATAGTGCAGCCCTACCTTGCGGGAATGTTCTAACAACATTTACTAGTTATGATATAACGAATGTGTTCCTTATGTACATGGAAGTCTGAATTGGCTTCCTTTATCTTGTGTTCTTCAAAAGAAAATGTGTTATATTCCATTCTGGATATGTTTTGGTTAGGATGTGTAGAAGGGCTGTGCTCTTGGATCCCCTTTGGAGATACACTTAATGGCATGACTTGCTCCAGTCGTTGCTTTGGCAGGAGGATGCCAAAGACTTTCACTCAAATGAGTAACTTTTAGATTATGGCTAGCAACTGCACAGATGATGCATCTCTCAAGGGAGCAGGCATCAGCTGCAGGGTTGTGAGCCATAACTCAGCAGCAACCCACATGGGTAGAAGTCTTTAGGCACTGTTGTAGTAGTGTGGGAGCAGTTTTGGGAAGAGCAGTAACCATGCTGGTGTATGCATATCCAAACCCAATCACAGGTCCTTCAGGTCTGGCAGTATCCCAGAATTACCCAGATCTGACCCATGTACAGTCCAACCAGTGCAGTCCAACTCTTGCATTGAAAACAACAACAAATGGCCATTACCGTCTGTGTTTTGCACAGCCGATTCACAAAGATGCCTTTGACCATTGCCTCTTTTCCTAACCTTATTATCAATTTGCTTGTTCACAGCTCGTAGCTGTATTTGATGAGCAAGACCCACACCATGGAGGAGATGGTACTAGTGCCAGCTCTACTGGCACCCAGAGCCCTGAAATCTTTGGCAGTGAGCTGGGCACCAATGCCGGGTCAGCCTTCCAGCCTTACCAAGCGACGAGTGAAATTGAGGTCACACCTTCAGTCCTTCGCACAAGTAAGTAAAAGCTCTCTGTGCCTCGCCACATTTCATCTTCATTTACTCAGATGCCAGCTTCTGTTACCCTTTCATGCTACTGGGAATATGATTCATTATGTGTCTTTATCGAACGCTGATTAAAGTTCAGAGGCAGAGTAGATGTTTGAAGCAGCAAGCAAATAAGCGTTTTGCCTGTCTATTTTTAATATCTCAGCTCTGCGCTGTTTTAAATACTCACAGAATCATTGGTGTATGTGTTTGTGTGTGTTGCCTCATCAGTTCTAAAGTACCGGAGCATGCAGACTTATAATACAGTTTCCAGGTTGTAGTTTCCAGTGTGGCAGTTTTGACCTAGCAAACGAAGAGGAAAAATTGATGAAAAATTGGTTTATAAGTAGCAGGTGCTTTGAGCTGCACAATTCCACCAATCTTACGGAGGGTTCTCTCATCACTGTGCAGGTTAGACATCATCAGATGATAACACTTAGCTTCTCTCTCTCCCACTGCTTACACATAAGAAGAAGAGAGAAGTAGGCTTTTGTACTTTCCTATCCTGAAACTTTTCAGATTTTAGTCTAAGAGCCTGAAGTACTGTAAACTGAGTGTGAGAGTAAGGGACTGTTTCCAAAAATGCCAGGCCTTCGTGTTCTTTTCCTGTCCCTTTCCAAGGCATGTGTAGTACAACTTGTCCCCATTCTGACAGCATGTTGCTATGCGTTTCCCTGCCCCTGTTCTGAATTGCTGGCTGCCACTGGGGGGACAGGGAGCAAAAAAACCCTCCCAAACAACCCCACCAAAACCAGTGTGTGTTACGGACTGATATGGAGCTGCCATTTCCGAGGAATGTGTTTTGTCTACCATAAAAGGACATTTCAAAACTTCATAACTTGATTTAGACAACCTATAAAATGTGTTTAATTCATCCCCGTATTACAGGGCTTTCCTTGAAGAATAAGAGCACCTCACAGGGTTAGTGTCCATGTTCCATCTAAGTTGCAGAATCCTACAACTATTGCAGTGATGATTATTTATTTATTTTATACCCCGCCCTACCTCAAAAAATGGCTTCTGATGAGCTTGAATGTCTTCCAGGTGTTACCAGCATAACATCTAGGTACTGGTTCTCAGTCTTCATAATGGTTAGCCTAATTTAATGAACTAAAATATTTCTGAGCTTCCCCAATACAGACAAGAAAGCAAAACTAATTGGAAGAAACCACCCATGCTTTAGAAATGTGGCTAGACTGATCAATGGAAAAGTGAGAGCGAATGCAGGGCACACTTTAAGGCCATTAAGGAAGTTACTGCAAGCACCCCACCCCAAAGAACAAACAGTTAAATAAAAAAAAAACCAGTTAGCTTTGTTAATCGACATTTCTGAGATTAAAGAATGAAAGATGTTTCAATAAGCAAAGCATGCTGTGTCATGCTCCTGAGAAGGTCAGGGCAGGGACAATATATGGCTACGGTCAAGACAAAAATGTAGATAAGACAATTGTGTTGGATCAGACTAAGGTTCAGTTAGTCTGTCATTTTGTTTGCAGAAATGCCCAAACAAATGCATATGGAAGCTTACCTCTTGTGTCATGGATTGCATTGGTTGATCGATTTCAGAAGAGTGGTGCGTGGTCCTGCCTCGTAACAGGAAGTCCAGGGAACTTTTTGCTATCCCTTTGGATTTTCCAGTATTTCAAAAGTAGAGTTTGCTGCATCTGCACCTCCGTGGGGAGTTTCACCTTCCCTATTTAATATTCTAGTTGTAGGGCACTGAGGACATCTGAGTGAAGATGCCAACTTAGGCAGTGTATTTGCATGATATTTGTGCTCAGAGAAGATGTGAAATATTTTGGCACAGATATCCTAGAAAATCAAAAGCAGTGTTCTGTGTACTACTTAAAAGGATTCCTTTCCCTTTCTTACCAGAATACTTTTTTGTTCTTTAGGGTGCTGTACCCCCTGGGTAATTAAAGCAATGCCAGCAATGTTATTTGACATTAAAGTGAACTGATTTCAAATACCGGATTTAAATATACTTTGAAAGTAGGAATAATATCCCTATTGTATTTCCTTTTTAACTTGTGTAGTGAAGCATGGCATACAAATGGTATTCTCAGTATTTCAAATAATTACCTTTTTTTACTGTTCTGCTTCCATTCAGCTCATAAAACCCATCCAGTGTGTAGTGGTAGTTTCAGATCCTGATTATTACATGTTGACAAGATCATATATCTATTAATTAGATTGGAGATGGGATGCAAAATTGCTGTAATTATTGTAATTTTCCAGCTAATTGTAGGGTTGGTGGTGAATATTTTACTTCTACCAAATGAAAAACAGTATTCCATCTGAAAATTGTTTGGTAGCAGTTGTAGAATATTTCTCTCTGGTGCTTTGTAATCTCCCCCCCCCCCCACCTACCCAATGGGCTACCTCTTTTGACAACACAGCTCATACGGTAAAGCTGAACATTTCATGCCACTGTTCACATGCGTCCAGGGAATAGCAGAGCAGCCTCTTGTTCTGACGCACTGTCTAAGCATATTAAGCCAAAGCTTGAACAGTCTGCTGAAGATTTTAATCTTCCTTTGTTCGGGTTGCCATGTTACCCCGCCTTTTTTTTGTTTGTGTATAAATTGGACCACCTTCCCTAGAAAGGAAAAGGTTAAGTAGATCAGTTCCAGCTGAGAAACTAATATTCATCTAGGCTGCCATTCTACCCCCCCTGTGTGCAGACATATAAGCTCGGTCTCTCTGCAGTAATCATGTGTGGTGTTCATGGAGGGGGTGGTGGCTTAGACTGGATCTTTGCAGCTAAGCAGGAATAACACTGGGCAGCAAAAAATAAAAAATAACCCCTTTGTGTCACTCTGTATCGAGGCCGCACAAACCATACATTTAAGTGGCTGATGTAGTTCGATTTCTTTCTTTTTTTGAAAATGTTTTTTCAAGTTATCTCTTTAGTTTGTAAATCTTTTTCTTTAATTGTGACTGTCTAAACTAAATTCTCTGCTGCTGTATTCCATGATATGAATTAGATTTTAAAAGATCATAACTATGCTATACAAAGTGGATTTGTGTTTTTGGTGAGACTGCCTGCATGTTTCAGAGAAGCGTGCAAGAGATTGCTGTAGAAGATAGGTTGAGGAAAACTGATCTTTATTCCCTGCTGAAATATATAAACTAGAGGCGCAGGTGAAAATTGCCAAATCTAATGAGCAATTTGGCAGATAAGGCAGGATGTCAAGTGGTGATAGTTCAGCTGTGGCAGCACAGTCTGGGAACTAACCTGTTAGTTTCACAGGGCTGTGCTTAAATACTGTAAATAAGATCCTAGATCACTTGCCATCAGATAACACACCTGAGATATTTTTCTTTTGTGTCGTTCAGCTTTAATTTAAAAGCCTTTAAAATGTGTTCATTGTTCTTGAACAGTATTGTAGTATTACAAAATTAAACTGGTATTGTGTTTAACCTGAAGTACATAAGAACATAAGAACATAAGAGACGCCAATGTTGGAGCAGGCCAAAGGCCCATCTAGTTCAACTCTCTGTCACACAGTGGCCAAAAATACCAGGTGCCATCAGGAAGTCCACTAGTGGGGCCAGGACATTAGAAGCCCTCCCACTGTTGCCCCCCCCCCAAGCACTAAGAAGACAGAGCATCACTTGCCCCAGAGCCACTATCTATACCTTGTGGCTAATAGCGACTGATGGACCTCTGCTCCATATGCCTATCTAATTCCCTTTTGAAGCTGTCCATGCTTGTAGCTGCCACCACTTCCTGTGGCAGTGAATTCTATGCATTGTTGCACCATTTCGTGCCTACAGTGTGGGCTTTGGGTTTGTTTGGCATGCAATTGGTTTACAGGTGCCATTTTGGAATGACCATATTTTCATAATCATATATGTTAATTGCCTACAAATCTACAGATTTTCATTCCCTTTTGAGGTTCAGAGCAGGTTCCTCTAATGGTTTCTCTGGTCTGGAATAGCACTCATACTTTACTACTTATTGCTCACAACAGTCCAGCCCAGCCAATAAAACAGCATTCTGGTTGGAAACTGTATTGGCTGTCTGAAAAGTTAATAAACTGAAGACCCAGTTCAGCATGCTGTGGTGGTGGTGGGTGAGTCCCCATCTCTGAACACACCAGGCTTGGACCAAAAATGTCATTTTATTGTATTTATTTATATTTTAAGTTTATGGGTCACCCAATCCCTGAATAACGGGGCTCTGATTAATGTACAACAGGAGTTAAAAACAGCAAACATATTAAAATTGATAAATAAGTCACTCCTTACATTCTTAAAATAATCTCCAGATGGTGTCACTAATCTGATCTTAAGCCTGTTCTGGACTCTGTTGCCACCTCACGGGCAGGGTAAAGAAGAGGCAGAAACAAAACAAAAAAAGATGGAATAAAAGGGGAGGGTGCCAGCTATGATGGGAACCATTGCTGGTTTCTCCTTCCACTTCAGCATGCAGAATTCTTCCTGGGTTTCCTCCATGCCCTTCTGCCAGCCTCTGTACATGAACTTCCAAATTGATCTTGGTCCGACTTGGTTTCCTTTACTCATCTCTCCAGCCTGCACCTTTCAAATAATCTAAGGTAACTATAGTTTTTTTTTTTAAGTTAGTATTGTAAGGAACCTTTACATTTACCAAAGGCAAGTAGACCTTTGAATACCAGTTCTAGGAGGCAACATCAAAGGGAGCGGTGGTGCAGGGAGCAAAAGCACCTGCCTTAACATCTAACAAACAGCTTGTAGGCTGTTCGATACCCACCGCGGCCGGGGTGAGCACCCGGCCCTAGTCCCAGCTCCCGCCCACCCAGCGGTTCGAAAGTGATAACAACTTATGAGTAGATAAATGGGTACCTTCCTTAGAAGGCAGGGAGCACCCTCCTCCATTGGGAAGTGAGGTGGGAACCTCAGCAGCGACGGTTCGGCGAGCGGTGGCGGCGGCAGCAGCGGAGTGGTGTGTAATGGCAGTGGTAGTCGAGGCGGTGAGCGGAAGA